ATAGATCTATTTCAAGCTTTTTAGCTCTCATCAGCTCTTTAAATAGCTTGAAATACATCTATACTAGTCTCCCTTTATTTATTTATCAGCACAAATACAACACAAATGTAACAAAGGCAACAGTAAAAAGATTGGGTTTCTGTCTGGATGGTCTCTTATGACGAGCCGATGAACAGAGAATGGAAGCAGTGAACTTCCTCCCATATTTGGGCATACCAGGGGTTATGACTTTAAATATCCCTCTCTCTCTCTCTCTCTCTATCTATCTATCTATCTATCTCTATCTATCTATCTATCTATATCTATCTATCTATCTATCTATCTATCTATCTATCTATCTATCTATCTATATATCTATCTATATATATATATATATATATATATATAACTTTCAAGTTATATATATCTTTGTAGAGAGACCCTGCTGAAGTCTTATGCCCAAAATAAAAATCCTATAATGTGCAAGTATTAGATATAGTTACAATCCACTTGTCTCTTTAACTGGACACTAAAGCTAGGTTGGAGAAATATGGCATGGCCTCAGATCTTTGCTTTCTCAACTGCTGGGTCATTATAACTAAGCTGGCAAGACCTCCAGTTATTACTATTCCAAGGATGTAAACTAACATGAAAACTCCCCCAAATTAGATTTATCTTTAAGGAATCTGAAAACAATTATTAGTTAGAATAAAATTAATAAACTTGCCAGCTGGATCAAAAGTTGCCTTCATTTCCTCTATAAAAAGAGGAATAGGAATTCAGGTTAGGACTTTCAGGCAAAGATTGTTCTTGGGTTTTCTGGCTCCTAGAAAGGATGGGCCTAAAATAAAGATTAAATTTGAAATATATCCTTGAAAACCAAAAAGCATATGCCACACACTTCTGGTCTTTTAATTCAGCAAGCAGTTTGAGGAACAAGCCATACTTTTGGCAATAGAATTAGCAGTAATTTTGGAAAACTGCTTTTCTTCAAAAATTTCTGGAATATAAGGAAGTATTTTCTGGAATAAAACTTCCAGAATTCCAAGTCAGCCTGGCCAGTTCTTGCTGGCTAAGAATTTCAGCAGTAGGAATTACAATATATCATTGGCTCCAGATTGGTAACTGCTGCTACTTGAAACTTTTTAAATTGAAACTTTTTAAATTGAAACTTTTTAAATTGAAACTTTTTAAATTGAAAATTTTTAAATTGAAAATTTTTAAATTGAAAATTTTTAAATTGAAAATTTTTAAATTGAAACTTTCACAGTCAGTAGGAACATTGAGTAAAAGAAGTACC